TAGTGCCGGAAAAGCAAAGCCTTCTCGGCTACCCAACCGAGCAGGTGTATTGTTGAAGCAAGTAAACACTATGACGAGCAGTCAGGATTCGGAGTCGAGCGCCTCGCACCCACATAGAAATGCAGAAAAGCCAAGTTGTGAGACGTTCGTCAGCGATTACATCATACTGTAGGAAGTTTGGCACGAAACTGAGACCAAGGGCAGCAGGTGTGGATTCGGCGAAGGCGAGTAAAGGATGGGAACTCATGTGTGTTTGCAAACCCTCCTAAATATCTTGACAAACGCACGAATCGGCCGCAAGCTTGTTCTAAGAAAACTTCAGAGTCGGCTGTTGAAGCACAAATGTTAGCACCTCAAAGGATGCCTTTTTCGGGTAGAAAGCCAGATGCATCTTTGGAAAAAGCAGTGAGAACATCCTCAGCTCTGCTAAATAAGGGGTTTATAGCCCATCCGAACACAGCCACACCTAAAGACGATGTAACAAATGCTGAAAAACGGTTGGACAGCGGCAAAAAAAGCCTGCTACGTAGACACCAAGGCAACCGTCCGTGTAGACGCCCTTATGAAGACGCCAGTGACTTGCCTGGACTAACATGGCAGCAGTGGTGGCAAAGTTTCATTCTCTGACAGTAGGCTCGAGTGGCGCTCCGCGGTACAATAGATGACCTAACTCGTGAAACAGTAATTAAACTGCTGATATGTAATTGCGGTCGAAAAGGGGTACTTAGGTGCAAGTACATTAGTGAGGATGTGAGGCGAATGTTCACATTACGGTTGTGTGGGTGTGTATAAATAAATAAATAAATAAGAACTGCCAGAAATAAAAGTGGCAACAAAAAACTGTAAATAGTTATAGGTGGGCAGGGACCAATCAAACATCAGGAGGTAACTGCCCAAGGCTCAGTATGCCAGCGTCTGGCCGACAAAATCGATTAACCGAGTTCTCATTGGAGGCCCAGCCTTTCACGTTTGACGATGGACTCGTGTAAGAGACTGAAAACTCCGGCGAATACAGCGATAATTCCGGCGAACAAAAAAACCCGCGTCTTTCCATATTCCGTTATGGATCAGAATACAACACAAATCCAAGTTATTTCAATCAGACCGTAATGCCAGCTTACAAACACCTTTTATAGAGCATATGGACAAAAAAATCTTATTTTAGATATTTCATGAAAGATTATTTCTTCAAAATTTATATTGATATCTTCCCGGTTTAACCAGTTTTGCAATTCCAGAATAACTTTGAAACCGACATGGCATTGCATTTGAGTTCAAAGTTTCCAGGCTAGATGCGATACGCTTTTGATGCTAAAAAAAATGCATGTTCCTATATATTATCGAGAAAAATGCTTTTTGGGCTCACGCGCACTTGGAATGGGTATGAACCGCGTTGAATACGGAACACTAATAAAAAAACGGAAGAGATTATATCCACAAGATCCTTTTTAAAAAACGAAAGCTAACCATCCTCCCAACAGAAAGGTCCAATAAGAAGTTACTTTCTTGCAAAAAGCTTATATTAAGATGATATTTTTAGCGCAGGCTTTCTATACCATATGCTTGGACTCCAAAGGCGTCCAAGAAGATGGTAAACATCAAAAATAAATAAGAGCTATTGTTCTTAGTGATTGCAATTACTTCAGGCAGTCGGATAGGCGCGTATCCAAAAGCTGAGAGCCAGACCAAATTAAACGGGAATCAGTATTGAAATCCTACCTAAGTAATCCGATAATAGTCTATTATAGGTAGTATCACGGAAACCAAAACCACTGAAATCTGTAATAAATATATGCTTAATCATTTTTAAATTTATTTTGCAATTATCGCGCCTTTCCTCTATTGCTATATAATTGTTTTTATAATCATTTTATCTACTTTTTCCTGTTTTTTTCGCTATATTTCTTTTATTTTCTCTCCTGTGTCCCCGCACCGCCCCAACCGTATAATCCCTATTATCAGTTACTCTGAAGTACAGAATTCGGGAATTTGTTTTCCGTGGTGGTACCTATAACAGATTGTTACCAGTAAGCTCTTTAACCGAGACCAAGTTTCAGAAGTGCCGTTTGCTGTTCATAAGGTACGCCACCCGCTCTAAGTTCAACTATAGTCCCAGTGATTGCAGTCCACCACCTCCAAGGTCGTTATGTTCGTCATCAGAATCGTTCTTCTTCGCCTTCTGAGACAACGGACATGCAGAAATT